TGCGTTCATAAAACTCACCTTCTCTTCAATGTTAAAGGTTACTTCGGAGAAGTGTTGGTCAGGCCACTGCTTATATCGCCAATATTGCACAATTTTCTTCCCCGGCACCAATTCCTTAAATTCTCCAGTTACATTCCCTCCAAATAGAGAAAACTTCCCACCCTTTTCGGCCTCAAGCTTCACATGTCCTTGAGTAAATGCTGTCACCATCTCTAACCGAGTCATAGCATCGTAAAACTCTTGTGCACGGCATTGGAAAGTCTCTGATAGTTCAATTGTTTTAGTATCTAGCTTGCATCCAATCTGTACATTATTCTGAGGTGAAATGAGTGGTTCCATGCATACTTTCTTATTGAAACCACTGGTAATCATAGATACATTGTCTGGTTTGACAGGAGCTTCATCTTTTTTGGGAAGAATGAGACCTTTAGAAAACTCTTCTTTGAGACTGCGTATGTATTCTGATAGCTGTTTCCGGATCTCATTACGACCAAAGTTGTGCATAAATGCTTTTACACGCTGAGCTTCTTCGCCACTACCTTTGATTGTTACAGTCATCTGAAAGTAACAAAAATTTTTTATTCTAACCATCATGTAGCATGCATAACAAATACCTAATTTCGTATTCAAAAGACTGAAGTGTAACTGACAAGAGACTTATAATCTTATGCCCCACAGACAGCGATGTTGTTGTGATATAAAGTAATAAATAAGAAGCTTCAACATCTATTACATGAATAGCAAGGGCAAGGTCCAAGCTTATTACTTATACACTGTATGTCAGATGCTACGTTTCCATTCCAATTTAAAATTTAGACAAATCTCATCAAGAAAAATATATAGAATACTGATATTGTCTAAGAGAATCCCACATGGGACAATGCAGAATCAGCTTGAGCCATTCCGAATAAATTTCACACCCATGGCAATAAAATTGGATTAGACATTGCATGTTTTGTTTCTACTCAGACTGCTACTTGAAACTCCTCAATGTTTTTTTTTCTTAAAACTTTTTCTAAACGGCTCAAAGCAAATTCATGTTGATCAATGTGGTGATTCCCTTACAGTGAGACTTATTTGGTTCTGCAGTCAAACTGTACAGCCCTATGAGAAACGTTTATTCTGTTATGTTTGTATGGGGGTGTTAGCCTTTATTACACCTAAGGGTTGAGATTTCACCCAGTAATATGGACAACTACGAGTATGGTTACCCCTACAGGCATTTAGATAGATAGATTACACTTTATTCACACACAATAACAACACAGTTACAAAACAGTTAGGAAAAAACCAAAACAGAAACAGTAGTAACAAAACAAAGTTAGGAAAGCGTGGCGTTTGGTTAATTTTTTTTTATGAAAATGTTTATTTTTTTGCATTATTTATAAAATTTTACTGCAACATTGAATTAAAAAACTTATATTAATAAGTAATTATACATTTAAGACTGAAATTTACTATATTTAGTATGCATGCTTTTATTTTGGAACAATAAGTTTTAAGACATGTATTTTACATAGGTTAAATCTTAGTTGTGTCCCACAATCAGTAGGTTAGGTTAGGTTAGTATATACTAAAAGCCAGAAGAGAATATGTTTGGGTTTTCGAAATTATATTATAATTAAAGAACTTCATAGATAGCGTCAATTAGGCATTTTTGCCTGGTTTTTGGTTAAATGTAGTTTCTCATATAACACAGGCAGTGGGGGGGGGTCCGTAACTCCCCACTCACATGGGTGGGGGCTCGGGGGGAGGGATTTACCCCGCTCTTTGGTGCTAAAACATGATTTTTTGAGGTTATTTTTTCTAATTTTCAAAAATGAATATCTCAAAAACTATTAACGTCATAACTTTGAAACTTTGATGGACTCCAAAAATTTACAACTGTTTCCACCACCTGCACGAAAACCTTAAAGTTAGGAATGTTGCTTCTCGATAGGTACCTCATATACTCAACAAAGAAAAAAATTCCATTCCATTGATAGGTCCAAATTTATGATAGAAGTCTATCCTACATCCTTACATCTGATGAATCTTGAATCTACAGCTATAATCCTGTCACAAAGCAGTAATCCAAACAATAATGGGAGAAGAGTTAAAGTTGCCCACAAAAGTTCTTCATTCTCAGTTCTCATTCATAGGTTATGTGAACCAAATGAGCTATGTTTAAACAAGTAATTAACCCACACTTAATTCATATATAATAACCAATTAAAATCAGAACTTACGTCCACTTCGCTGACATCATTCTCCTCCGAAAGGTTAGGGATGTGCACCTCACCCTTAACAGTCTCATTGCCCCCAGAGAGCCTCCCTTCCCATTTCATCTTAATGTCCCATTCATAAAAGAATATTAATTTTCCTTTCCTATTATTCGCTGACGCTTCACCATCAACTTTTTCTACTTCAGTAATCTTACAGTCAATACCATTTTGAGCTATTTTTAAATTCGTTAGGAGTTCCTTCAGGCGGTCCTTGGACCACGGTCCAGCATTTTTCTCCGTCCAATGCCAGTTGTTCACGTTGGTAGCGTCAGGTCGCTCCTCCACGATCCAACGAGGGTCACCTTCTCCCCATTTGGCCATCTCACACTACACGAGTATAAGCGTTCTCTAATTATCCACAATACTTAAAACGAAGTTATTGCACTATAATGTTGCTCCACAACACCGAGATCAAGAGTTGAGAGATGCAATATTTTGCTCTTGGAATCAGTCACAGTTTTTGCGAAATCTAGTGCTTTTCGAACGTAATCGACCGACTACTCACACAATTTTCGAGAATAATCACAACGAAACCGCAAGGCCTGATTCCAGTCGTGTAACTGACAGATCTGGGTTGCTAATATTTCAAATCAAATTACCCAATTTTACGCAACCATGTGTACTTCCGGTGTTTAGTAGCGGTATAGTACCTACATACATACAAGCACATGGGACTTGTCAACTTATGTCTCCGGGTCACGGGTGCAATGGCAATGCCCTTTAAAGTTTAAAGCTCTCGGTAGTACAGCAACTGTATTGGACAGTCGTGTCCTTAGCTTAGAGTAATATATTTTTAAACGAAGAATTCGAACTATGGGCATGTGAAAGAAGTGCCTGAATAATAATAATAATAACGCACACACTCAATATACACACACATAGATAACCACAAATTACACCCAAACTCTCTCGAAATAAATGTAAGCCATACAAATATTTCTCCCGGACCGGGAATCGAACCTGGGACCTCTGCGTGGCAGTCCGGCATGATAATCGTTCGGCCACGGAGGCAGTGAATACTTTCATTCATAAATTTCAATTCTCTTCATTCAATAATATTGCGAAAATGTCTGCAGAGTAGTATTTTTCTAACCCATTTCTTTTCTCATTAATGGTTCCAACAACTAATAACCAGATTTACAAGATCCACTATCTTTTTCTCGCATATTAATAATAAGTGACAATGATATTCATCACCACAAGAGACTACACAATAACTTGTCATTTGCGTCCATGTAAAGTCATATAAAAACTGAATTCTGTAATGTTGAATATTAAAAACAAAATTGTGCGGCAATATTACGTAAATTCAACACAGGTAGAATTTAATTGAAATTGAATTCATTTAGAAAATTTTATCAAACAAAATAAAGGAATTAAACTTTCTATTTAGCGTTTATGTAACATTATTTGAAAAAATATTCTACAACCAATAAAAACATTTTTATAACAAGTCCCACCATTATTATATTAATGTCCCTTTATTGGGGGAAAGTTGTTTTTCTGGCAACATAATCGAAGTTTCTGCAAGTTTCTAGAATTCAACGCAGCCAACATTAAAACTTCAAATGTCAAATTCTTTACGTTCCGTTTTTCTGCTTTAGCCCGACGACATCTTGCAATATTTCGGCATTAAAACCATAGAACATGCCGTAATATGAAATGTTATATTATTAAACCGTTCATAGCTCTAACGCCTGCAAACACTTGATAGCAAAAACTTTTTTCGTGTGTTTCGTGGCTTCATTGGTTTTCATTTCAAAATCTATATAAAGACTGTTTTTGTAAGCAATGTATCTTTTCAGAAGATTTGCATCGATCATGTTTTTACATCGACAACAGAACCGTGAGTTGTATGTACGTACATACAACATACTTTTCGCAGTAATGCGCCGAATATCCCGCCTAATAGCCGTGTGTGTGTGTGTGTGTTTATGCTAATGGCAGTTGGCGGCGCGGCGGCGCGCGACGTGTGTCGTCGGTTTGCACGCATTTTTAACCTATTTCAAAAAAGGAGGAGATTCTCAATTTGACTATGTTTTTTTCGATGTATGTTACGCGATAACTTGTGAACCGATTTTGACGACTCTTTTTTGTAGGAAAGAGGGTACCTCAGAAGCGGATCCATTTAAATTTGAAGAAAATATTCCACCTCTAAGTGTGGCAAACTAGGGGATGAATGACTTTTGAGGTCGATTTTTTTAGTACTCTGTACTCAGAATATTTAATATGAATACATCTGAGGTTATCATAATCACTTAGTTTATACAGTTAATTCTAAATTAGTAAGGTAAGTAAGCTAGGTAATGTATTTCGGTTACGTTACAATTCGTTCTGACTTGGCGGACTATATAACTATGACTTGAATTTGTTAATTTATGTTTATAGTAATGAAATGTTTATCTCAATGATTTTTATGACAGAAATAAATAATTAACTTAGTAATTTATTCCGTAGCAGTGTTTTACATTTTTGAGCTTCTTGAGTCAATGCCTATGTTCAAACAACCTTTGAACATTCCACTCAGCAGGCAAACGACCCAAAAATATCCTGCAAGAAAGTGCTTCAGCAGCACTACTCAGTAAGACGAACGACCGAAAACCAGGCTGCAAGACGAGACACTTGGTTTTGTAGAGACATTTTTTAAAATAGTGTGTGTAAATGTAAATTTGTATGTATACAGTAACCCAGTTTATCGGGTCACACACAGGTGTTGATCGAATAATTTTGATTCGATCGAACACGATCGACACACATCTAATTTCTGTACAATTAGTCGACGACCACAGGCCACAAACATGCACTAATCGGCAGACTGGACAGTACAATTATTCCCAGAACGCTCTTTGATTTTTTCAAAGCGAGAATGGATAGGTATTATGTAGGGTATACATACTCCATCGTCGACCTCATCGTTATTTTCCACTTCACACTTCATCAAGGAGTTACAGGTTAAATGTTGTGAATTTATTTACGTATTTCTCTTAAAAAATTATTTAACAAAGCACTCATTTTTTTATAATATTAAATATTAAGTGTCTTTTAAGTCTGTTTCTTCTTTATCTTATTTTTACGTTCTTATTCTTACGTTTTTTCGTTACTGTCCAAATATAAATCGCCCTTGATTCTTTTTGTCAGGTACCAGTTTTGTACATCGTGTACATAAACCTGTTTGCAGCATCCCATGACGAAATTCCTTTTTAACTCCGTATATTTTTCCTTAAGCAATTTAAAAATCTTGTGACGTATGTATATTTTTATCTTGATCTATATTTGCCTCTTCTAGTCATTAAATAATTCTGCCAAGATCAGAATATGGTGCAATATGGCTTGAAGCGACCCCTGACTCAGTGAAAAATACTTCCTCATGTACTGTGTAATATGTATAAAATTATAGAACCATATACATATTTTAAAATATGTGGTTTTAAGCTCCTTTTTAAAAACATTTCAAATGCTCTCCTGCAAAGTTACCAAAATGTCGATAAAATCAATAGGGCTATAGTCCATTTGTTTAGGTAGGTACTTAACTAAATGTAAACAATCTTGATACATCTTTTTATTGAAACATATACTTTACAAATCAATTGGTAATAAAAATAGGCGTGTAATTTCATATGAAACTAAGTATTTGTATTTTGTATTGGAAGGTTAGTAAACATCGTTTTATAAATGTATATTTGATTAAATAGACATCTCAAAATTGTTTACATTTAGTTAAGTACCTAAACAAATGGACTATAGCACGATAGGGCGCGACTAGCGCGAGAGTGCTAAAACGCGAAAACGCGTGACTGCATCGATACAAACGCGCGACTGCATCGATACAAACACGCGCCTGCATCCACACAAACGCGCGATTACATCGCTACACTTAAGATTTATCAGCGATTGCATCGATGATCGGATCAAAATCTCAAGTGTACAAGTTGCTAAAAGTCTCGGTGTGTAACCACTGAAAGGGGTCCTATACTACGCTTTTAATTAATTCTATAAATTGATCTAATACATAATATCGAAAATAGCAACATAATGTCTATCGAAAGTGGTTTATCGAATAGTCATTAAATCATAGTACAACATTGTTGCATAGACCGGTTTAGAGAGGCCGGGAAGTAAAGGATTATCAGATGAGTCTGATATACGCGATATTGTACGAGTCAGCAAAAAAAATGTGAGGAAATAGTATGAAGGAGATTGTAAAAGTGAAAAATAATTATTTCATAAATTTTCATTTGTTTGGTTTGCTCTTAGCCGGAAACAAGTTTCCATGACAAATTTCTTGTTTTAAATTAGGCGGAGTACAGTCCATTATTATATTTTCGTTCTTCTCACTAGAACTCATTGCGAAGAATATATAAAAAGTATACAAAAAAATAGGAACAACAAAAAAGCTTCAAAGTACTTCCGTTTATTTAAACGCCTTTTTTAAAGTAGGTAGGTAGGTAGGTGATGCATGTAAGCATCATAGTTAAACGCAAAATTCTAAGCGCAAAATAAATGATACCATAGACAATAATTTGTATTACTTAATTCTCGCATTTACGGACACTGATGCAGTGAGCAGTTAGCTGTATGACAGTTTCTTCAGGCTCTTTGGGAGTAGGTATAACTCTTTGGTAGTAGATTCCTCATTTAATTGGCAAAGATTTGCATGCTCCGTAAATGACAAACTTTGTGAGTTCTTTTTTTAAAGTAATGCAAACATTTCCGAGCATGTTCGACTTTCGAAAATTCGCACATTTTTTTCCACTCCATGTGCAGTGTGCACACAACCTTTTCATGGATTTGATAAAACGAAAGCTTTTTACCAAAAAATGATAGAACAAAATTGTTTATTTTAAAAAAGAAATGCCGTGATAGGTTTCGGTGTAGATTTGAAATATTCCTCTATAAAGCAGAGGGTCTCTGTCCCTTCAATGACCTTGACGCCTTTTTATCACTAAACCACGTCAAACAGATCGCAATACAAACACACTCGATACTGAATTCGGCACTAAATACTCGAAGAATAAGAATTGAACAATGAAGAGATTCCCTCCCGCGGCAAACCCTTCTGGCGGACGTATCCAGTAGCATAGCATAAATAATGTCCTGAATCGAGGCCGTTTTAGCTTTAGGTTTTAGCTCGCTACTTAGCTTCAATTACGAGTAAAGGTCAAGGCCATCAGCGGCTATAATATTATTATAATACCATTCAGAATAAAAATGTTGTAAGCAGCTATCTCACTGATTTTAATACACAACGTTAACTAACTACGTAGTAATAACATGAGGTAGCCGGCTAAAAACCTGATGTCATGAAAGCAGCAAAACTTGCTATCTCGTTGTTACGAGTAAGATATTAAATGCTAGCCTTCCAATACATGAAATTAAATCAGTCTGTCTACCGGTCGGCGGCGCAACCGCACGCAATAGTTGTGCGCGCAAATATCTGCTAAATTACAAAACAAAAAGTCAAGATGTTCCCATTACGCCGTGTTGGCAGTAAGGTTCGTCATCAGGGTCTACTATTGATTTAAAAATAATTTATTAAAAAATGTTCGATGTTTCAAAATTTGCGCGGTTTTGCAGATATTAGAGCAATGGCGGACACCAATAGCCGCTATAATGCCGAGGGGATACAGTTCAGAGGCGACTCCGCCAAGAGCCTTGACCATGTTGACTGAAGATGAACTCGCTATGAAAGAAACTGGTAAGAAATGACTTAACCATCGTTAATGGACGTTTGAAGTGAGATGTTTGGTGGACTATGACCTGACACGCTGTAAAACCTTCCAATATGAAAAAATAACAAATTTAGTCCCATAAACTTTTAAGTACATAACGTGTCCCGTGGAACCGCGCACTTTTATAGAGTCAATACATCATATAGGTTGACACGTATTACGATTTTAATCTGTAAGTTTTTATCGCAATGGGATATTTATTTAAACGTGGCCCATGTATCTATGTACGCCCTAAAATCACTGTACTATAAGTATCACTCAACTAACTAAACTAAATTAGTTAATTAGTTTGTAAGTAGTGCCTATTTTATATAAATGCTATATTGATTAATGACCGCATTGGCCCAGCGATTAGACCTAATGGATATTATTAACCAGCTGTTTTAAATTTGAAAAACAAATGTTTTCAAATTATTCCTGGTTTAGTTGTTCTGGATAATGTCCCGAGTTGATTTCTTTACTCTGGTACTCATAATACAATGAGTTTTCTAGTTTGAGACTATGTCATTGGTATGATTGACTCAATAAGCAAAAATACTATAAAGTATACTTTAAAACGTTAGCAATAGAGTTCCTTGTGAAAGATTTCGTCCAGGGTAGTACTGCCACCTTACCTATTTTTGCCGCCAAACAGTAATGTAATTACTGCGTTCCGGTTTTGAAGGTTTACGGTGTCGGTGAAATTCCAGGCACATGGGCCTTGTCAAGTTATGTCTCAGTGTGACGGGCGCAGTGGCAGTATCCCTCAAATGTTTGCGATTTAAAGCTCTGAGTGGCACTGCAACTGTTATGGACAGGCTTGTCGCTTACCACTAGGTGCACGATATGTTATAAAAAAACTTCAGTTATAGAGGAAATTGTGACACACCCACAGTCGTACGTCAAGGACAAATGCTATCGGAAATTTGTTTGTACAAATGTTACCAAAGCAATATTCACATGTATTTGCTATGAATATTCACATGTTCATAGCAAATATCTTATAAGGAAGATTTCATACACGGATTTTTTGTTACACTTGTAACATAGTCAGAGAACAAAAAGTAAAGAGAACGGGTACTCTCCGCCCCTCCCTAGCTTTAAATACCGCACCACGCTCCGCACATTGCCGGCCACTTTGACTGAACGACAACAAGGCTACCGACGAACCGTTTTCACTTTGATATTTGAATATAGTTTTCATTTATTCATTACGAAACTTGTACGTTAATATAAAACATTATTTTACGTTACTATTTATAATGGTCGTGAATAGTGCTGTCTACGGCTGTTTGTCATCATTTTACGAAAGATGAAACGAAGTAAGTAAAATAACTTATGTCTGAGACTCATTCAGTTATTGTTTTCTTCATTTATTTAAGCAGAGTAATATATGTATGTATGAAAAATACACATTTATTATATCAATATAATGAGGTGCCATGACTTCGTGAGCTAGCCTTGTCTACACAAGGGTTCTCGAATTTTCAATTCATATTGCCGACAAATATTACGTAAGTAGCGAATATACCTAATTATTAACTAAGTAATGATGGTCAACTTGTACACGCAATTTCAAATACCTTGGTTACCTTATTTAAAAAGTAAAAATGTACATGTCCAAAATATTACATTTTAAGTGCATTTAATATATTTTTTAAATAAATCTTCAACCTTACTCTAGTTAGTGAGTTAATGAAAAATATGATATTATATCGATATAAATACATAATAGACGTGTGTAATTATTAAGATTCTGAATTCTATTAATAGAATCATAGATAATAGATTCGCGTTGGCATTTTCGCTATGTTGCCGCTCTGATCACGTAACGTAATAGTGCAAGAAAGTAATGGGTAACCCTGCCACTTCACGCACACATTTGCCCATGTGCAGATAGCGCCTTGCTGTATGTAGTAGTAGTAGGTAAATGATTTTCGACCGTTGTATGGAGTGTCCGGGGTGTGACGTAGTGTTGTCTTATAACTAGTTATTACGGCATAAAGCCTTGGCTAAGCCCAATCTAAGACTAGATTAAAGTATTTTCTTTAGAATATTGATAAAAGCGTTACCACGCATATTAATCCGGAATCGACTTGAGATGGTCAGTAAAAGCTATTGTTATTGCAATAAGAGCGATAAAGAGCGATAATTGCTGATGGCCTTGACTGTGTCACCGGATAAGAGCTCTTAACCCGTTTATAAATTTAAATAGCGTGTCTCAGGCCTCCCAAGAGGGACGAACCTCAGCCCAGAACGATACTGGAGACTTTCGCCGGAAGGACGGAATGTTTATTCCTGCCGTTTATAACAACCTCCGTGGCCGGACGGTTACCAAACTGGACTACAACGCAGAAGTCCCGGGTTTGATTCCCGGGTCGGGAATCGTAAGTTTGGGTGTAATTTGTGGTTGTCTACGTGTGTCCATGGCACCCGCGATACAGGGCTTCCCTAGCGCGGAGCTATGAGTGTGTGTTATTATTTATTATTATTAATTGACAACATTGGTAGCCTAACGGTTTGCATTGTGAACGCTAGACGAGGAGGTCCCAGGTTCGATTCTCGGTAGGACCAATTTGGGGAAATGAACTTTTGTAAATTGATTTGGATGTCCTGGATAACCCGGAGTGAATTGTGTTGCTCTGGTACTGACAGTACAGGAAATTCTGTAATTTGAAGCGAAGTGTTTGGTGTGGATGTCTACCACATTTATTGTCTGACAAATAAAGGTTGTTCTGATCGGCTGAATACGACCCCGCGTCGATAAGTGTGGTAAAAAGTAAATTTTGATTTTCAATACATACAGCTGAACCTCATCAAGGCGAAGTTCAATTACCTTCTAGTACATAATAAGGTGAGAAAAAAATACATAAATTGAAATTAAAAAAATAATCTGAGTCGCTGTGTCGAATTGGCGAGTCGATGCCGAACTCACAGTTCCACATTACATCCACTCCGTTTTGTTTACAAGACATAATTAAGACATTACAATCATTGACTTACAAATAAATGGACGACGGGTCTAATACAAAAACCACGAAAAAAATGTCTCAAATTGTAATGTCATCGCAGTACTGTCTAATTTTGCTTGCTTCGCTGTCAGTCGAACAAACGAAGACTAAAGCGTGAATGACGCTCTGTATACGATTTTAACGCCCTATAAGTTCGGACACTTTTTAGCGCGGACCCGACGTCCATATAATTGTAAGTCAATTACAATGACCTATATCAATAATTCGCAATAAAGTTGGTCAAGACCGTAATTTCATTTGTTTAAAACTAATACAAACACAAAAAAGTTTATTGTTTAACAAAAGACGCAGAACAGATTAATGGCTAGAGTTTTTTTAATTTAAGTTTTTATGATACTAAGTGACAGGACGAACAAGTCGTGCGCCTGATGGTAAACGACACGCCTGTCCATAACAGTTGCAGTGCCACTCAGAGATTTAAATCGCAAAGATCTGAGGTGCACTGCCTCTGCGCCCATCACCCTGAGACGTAAGTTGAAAAGTCCCATGTACCTGTAATTTCACCAGCACCCTTACCCTCACAAACCGGAGTAGTAATGTGAGAATTACTGCACTCCGGTTTGAAAGGGTAAGAATGAAATTACAAGCACATGGGACACATCACTGGGACTTGTCAACTTATGTCTCTGGGTGACGGTCGCAATGGCAGTGCCCCTAAGATCTTTGCGATTCAAGGGTCTCAGCGGGACAGCAACTTTTAGGGATAGGTATGTCCATATGGTAATATATTTTGTTCGTCCCGTAACTAGGTATTATTAAAAAAGGATGTAATTAATATTTACTGTATCTAATCCATTAAATTTTAAATGTACGTTCATGCCTCATCTATATAAAACGCCTAACTGATTGTTGAAGCATGCTAACTACACCGCCAAGTTCCCTGGCTATGATAAAATACTGCATACTAAGCAACTGTATCTTGCACTCCATTGAAAATACAACCATAATCCTTATCGTTTTAATGCTAGTTTGTATGGAAGGTCAACTGGAATGAGTTGCATTGTATGAAA